TCTGTGCGAACCGGTAACATCGTGCCCCTTTCCTTTTCTCTTCTCCATTGAGGGCAATGTCGATCTTAAGTGTGGGGGTGGGGGGATGATGTTTATCTTTTGACTGCATTCGATCTGTTTGTGTGCTTGGAGCCTAGTCTACTGTCCAAATCTCAAGATTTGAGGGCTCCAAGCACTGCTGTTTGCTTGATGATTGATCGTATTGGCACTGTGGATGTGATTAGTAGATTGAATGGCTTTTGACTCGATGCATGACAACTTGAGTGTGACTAAGACAGCCTATTGCGATGACTGAGATGTGTAGTGGGTTCAGTTTTCAACCGTTTGCTTACCAACTGCGACTTGCATTTGATCACTTGCTTTTGACAGTCATTTATGCATCTAGTTCAGGGAATCAGAATGTGAGATAGAGCATATAGGTAGCCATGTGAGATTTGAGCCTGCTCGTTTCTTTCTTGTGCGATAGATCCCTCTTCCATGAAATGTAGCATTCACGTTGTCACTAGCTAAGATGATGGAGGCATAGGATTAGCCCACGACAAAATTGACTGTCCTGGTGTGTCATACCCCTAGTCAGCCCCTTTGAGCCGTGTGTTTTTCTTTCTTTCGGTCTTCAATGAAAAGTCACCCTTTTGCATCTTTTAGAAGGTTCCACAGAGTGATTTTTACATGATTTCTGCTATTTCTGCTAAATGTAAGGTGAGGGTTGGAGGAAGTGCTTAAAAGTTGGGCGTGTTATTGAAAAACGTGCAGAGGTGGTGGTTTTCTCAAAGAAAATAAAGAAAAACAAAGAAAAAAAAATGAAAGCAAAAGAGAACCACCACCAAAAATCTGAATAGTGCCCATTAAGTAGTGTTTCTTAGCATGTTTGGCTTGGAAATGCTAACATTTATATAACCTCCTTCGCTCTTGTGCCTAAAGAATTTGATTAATGCAGAATAGCGGAACGGAAGTTACTGGTTTGTTTGACTGTGGTTTTGTTGGGTTGGGAAATGTGGAACCTTGTGCTATAACTACCACCACCTAAAAGGCCTTTTCCCCATGTCCAAGACCCTAGCCAGTCATTTGAACCTGTGTCTAAGACCTCCGGATTAGATAGTGGTGACACCGCTTATGTGAACTCTAGCATTTAGAGGCTGCATTCATGGTGAAGAGACGATAGGGATTGAGCGAAGAAGCATGCCCATTTTTCGCATCAAATTGTCCTGACCCCACTGGTCGAGAGTGAGCGATTAATTTTCTTATATTCTCTATACTCTTTACCCCGGTGAGGACCTAGATTGCTCGGTCTTAATTCTGATATCTTGAGCTTTGTGCATGAAGTGACTGTTTTGAACAAGTGATTGAGTCAAGTCTAGGTTGGTTGGTAAACAGGAGAGAACTCTTCCTTTGCTCGACTTTATTGCATTCGAATGTCGTCTGTGGTGGTTGTCTAGGTTGTCATTCGAGTTGCCATGTGTTGATGATCGAAAGCCAGTATGATCCACGTGTTTTATGCCGATACGATTTGCCCAAAGGCCTGCTTGATTGAAACGTTTTGAGCTTACCTGGTGTCTGACTTGGTTTGCTTGGGGACAAACAAACGGTTAAGTGTTGGGGAGTTTGATAGACCGATAATTATACATATTTTCGCCCCTATTCTGAAGCCGTTTGTGATGTGGAATCTCGTGTTTTAAGCCGATTTCACGCTAGGTTGTGTGTTTATGTCATATTTCAGGACCCGGCGTTGGAATCGAGGCAGAGAAACGAGTTCTGGGTCGAAAGGAGCGAAGTTGCGAAGAAGGGGGCTGATGAGCCAAAATACCCGGCCAAAGGCAGAAATACCCGACCGGGTATTTTCTGGCCATGGTCGGGTAATTTTCACTTCGGGCGTCAGTGAGAAGCAGAAGGGGGCCCGGGCAAATGGCTTAACCCCCCCGTCGGGGATTATGGAAAGTGACCGGGGATTTTTCCCCTGAACGAAACGGTGCGCTTCATTTATACCCGGTCGAAACCCAAAATACCCGACCGGGTATCGCGATCTGGCAGCTGATAAAAGGAAGAAGAAGGCCAACATTGAAGGGTTCTGAGTTTTTGAGAGAGAAATAGATTCCTAGAGAGAGAAAGCGACGAACCAGAGTTCCCAAGTGCCATAGCTTGATCTTCATCACCATTGGAGCCCGGCTTGAGCTTGGAGAAGTGCCGATTAACCGTCCAGGATTAGAAATCCGTCTTCACAGTATGATTTCCGCGTCTGAATCTGCTTTTGCTTCTTTCTCTATGGAGTAGTTTCCACATTCATCTGGGTATGGGGAACCCTAGATTTGTATGCTAGGTCTGATTGCATGAACCCAAGTACAGAGTTTGTGAATTGATTATATTCGATTGAGGTTTGATTGATTGAATGACTTGAATCCTGATCAAATTCCTGTTGTTTCTGCTTTGACCTAGAATGAGAATATCTTCCTAGGTTGATAGAGCATCCTTAATCGAAGGTGGCGAATTGGTGACTTTAGTCGAGGAGCCAATTCGCTATTCTGTACCGAATCCCATTCGGTAGTGGAGGTTTGGTTCGTTAGGGCCTCAATCTGTTTACTCCGGTGGAGGTTAGTCGCCCGCTAGAGACTTAGATTGAGAGGGTCTGAAGACCTTTAGTCGAGACTTCAGGCTATTTAAGAACCTTCCGCAGTATAACTTTCATAAAAACTGAACTTGGTAAATTACAATCCGGCTTAACTACAGTCTAGGGGGAACCATACCCGGGTGACCTCTCACTACAAAAAAGACTGGCAGATGTTACCAGATGATTGGCGTCACAAAAAGCCTTTTCTCGTCACTAAAAGTTTATTTTGACGAAATATGGTCGTTAGCGGGTCGTGGGGTAAAGGTCCGTAGGTAATAGTCTAAAAAAATTTGGCGTCATAAATACATTTTTTGTGAGGGTAAATTATCCTCAAAATCCAATTTATCGTTGTTAGAAAAGAAATACCCTTGAGAAAAAAAACTTGACGAAAAGTTTTTGTGAGAAAGGAAAAACTATTTTTAAGGAAATTATTATGTGAGTTTAAGTATTTCTGAGAATATTTTTTTGTAAGCAAAAATATTTTTTTGTTAATAACACTTTGGGATTTCCATCCCCAAAATACCCTTATGTGTTGTTGTGTCAACTTGTTTATTGTCAAAAAAGGTTGTATAATTTGGTGAAACTTTTTGTTACCAACATACCCTATTGTTATTTCTAACGAGGAAAAGTCCTCGTGAATGGAAAAGTCCTCATAAATAAAATTATTATCGATGCATTGGTTTCGTTGGATCACTAGAGAACGACATCAGAAATGAAAACATTCATGACGAAGAAAATGATAAAAAATACATAATAATTTATCTATTATAGATAAATACGTTTAATACCTGAAAACGTAATTATTGTCTATGCATTTCCCAACAACAAAATAAATGATCATATATTAAAAAATCAACAAAATATTATTCAATGCAATTATTGTTCACAACTTACTATATACATTTATTAACAAAATCAGAATACATTATTAATTAAAATTATTAATTAAAAAATAAAAGAACATAACTCTGTCTCTTCCTCTCCCACCCACTGCCGCTGCACTTTGCGATTTCTTCCTCCTTCTTCAATGGCCAACCACGATCCTCTCCTCGGTCAAATCATCATCATCATCGAATGCATCTTGTGGCGCCCAATTCAGAGGACAAAAGAAACAATAAGTCAGAATCCATAGGAAAAGCGAGTAAGAAAACAATGGAGGAAGAACACTACCAAATCGATTGCATGGGGAACTTTAGGCGTCTACAATTGATCGGGGAGAATGAAGGGAAATTGAGAGCAACAAAAAAAATTCAAAGGCCATGGAGGAAGAACTTTACCAAATCGATTGCGTTTCCTCGAATCTGAATAACCTACACCAAACAAGGAAAAATCAAAGTTAGAGTCTCAAACAGAATCTCAAATAAAACCCTATAGATCTTACCAAAAGAGTTTCTAACCTCCTTCTGCATTGTCGGCGCCTCCGACGGATTCTGAGGTTGCCGGCGGTGGCTCCCTTTCTTCCCCCCTCTCAAACCATAAAAAAAAACAATATGCATATCAGAATCAGTAAATGAAACCAAAAATCGTAGGAAATCACCTAAAATTGACATGCAATTGGAGACAAAACTGACCTTCAACCTCCGGCGCCTTCATGGTCACCTCTGTCGGTGTCGATCTTCGTCGTCATCCTCGACAATGTTGCCTTCCATTTTGTTCCTTCTCATTGATTTCCAAAAGAAAAGAGAGAGGAATACGGTAGATTGAGTGAGAGATCGGGTAGGCAGACAAAAAGGTATGAGATTAAAAGGATGGTAAGATTTTTCTTTCTCTATTTCGTTGGTTTCTAGAGAGAAGAGTAGAGACGAGATAGAAGGGAAGAAGAGAGGAGGAGAGGCGGCCGCTAGTTTAGGTAAGTGAGATTAGGGTTTTCATTTGGTTAAAAATTTGTTGGGAGTGGCGATGACTTTTTAGTATTTTTCCCCAAAAAAATTAATTTAAATAAACAATATGGGTTAAAGACACATTTGGTCACTGAGATTACAAAATCGGGACATGATTAGTCACTAGAAAAAATTAATATCAAATTTGGTCACTACAATTACTAAAACTGGACACATTTAGTCACTCGCCGTTAGTCTCCGTCCAACTCCGTTAATGAAGTCCGTTAAGTGATGATGTGGCAAACAGAATTGCCTAATCAGCTGGATATAACCCAACAAAAATAAAACCCGACCCGCCACGTCATTATAACCCGCCACGTCATTTAAAGCAACCCAACCCAACCCAACCCATGACCCAACCCCACCCAACCCTTCTTCCTCCTTCCTCTCACCTCCTTCTTTCCCCAAAACAACCGCCGCCTCCGCGTTCACGAGGATATCAAGCCTCCCAAAATGCTTCACCGTCCCTTCCACTGCTCTGGCCGCGTCTTCTCTATTCCGAACGTCTCCGGCGAACAATGACCCGCCGCCGCCTGCCGATCGATTCCAGATCCGAACCCTGCCCAGATCCGACCCAGTCAATTCCAGTCCTCTCCAAGGACGTTCCCATCAATCAATCCAAAAACACCTCCATCCGCCTCTTCCTACCCAAGCAAGCAGCAATCAATTCTTCCCCTCCGGCCAAATTGCCGCTCCTGATCTACTTCCACGGCGGCGGATTCGTCCTCTGCAACCCGGCCTTAACCGTCTTCCACGACTACTGCTCAAACGCCGCACTCCAGCTCCCCGCCGTCGTCGCCTCCGTCGGCTACCGCCTCGCCCCGGAGCACCGCCTCCCCGCCGCCTACGACGACGGCGAGGAAGGCCTGCGCTGGCTCGCTTCCCACGCTGAGGAGGAGCCCTGGCTGAGAGACCACGCCGACTACGGAAACTGCTTCCTGATGGGAAACAGCGCCGGCGGAAACATAGCCTACCACGTCGCCCTCCGCGCCGCCAACGAGATCGTTGCTGGTCAATTGAAGATCCGAGGGGTCGTACTGCACCACGCGTTCTTCGGCTGGGTGGAGAGGACCGGATCTGAGGAGCGGCTGGCGGTCAACCCCATGCTGCCGCTGGAGTCGGCGGACATGGCGTGGGAGATGTGTTTGCTGGTCGGGGCTGACCGTGACCACGAGTACTGCAACCCGATGGCCGGCGGTGGGTCGGAGCTGCTGGAGAAGCTGAGGGCCGTCGGACGGTGATCGCCTACGAAGGGGACCCGCTGGTTGACCGGTCAAATGAAGTGGTGAGGATGATGGAAGTGGGAAGTGGGAAAGGTGGGTTTTTTGGTTTTCTGGGTGAGTTGGAAGGTGGTGGGAGGAAGGAGGAGAGCGACAGCGGCGGTGGTTTTGGGGAAAGAAGGAGGTGAGAGGAAGGAGGAAGAAAGGTTGGGTGGGGTTGGGTCATGGGTTGGGTTGGTTTAAATGACGTGGCGGGTTATAATGATGTGGCGGGTCGGGTTTTATTTTTGTTGGGTTATATCCAGCTGATTAGACAATTCTGTTTGCCACATCATCACTTAACGGACTTCATTAACGGAGTTGGACGGAGACTAACGGCGAGTGACTAAATGTGTCCAGTTTTAGTAATTGTAGTGACCAAATTTGATATTAATTTTTTCTAGTGACTAAACATGTCCCGATTTTGTAATCTCAGTGACCAAATGTGTCTTTAACCCTAAACAATATAGAGCAGTTATGATTACGAAACAACTTTTTATTGGCCCAATTTTGCTATTTTAATTTTGTCTTGATTAGTAACTAATACCGTAGAACTTTCCTTTTCAAAATATTTTCTAGGAGTTGTGTTAGTATTGTATCTTCTATATTATTATATTTAATAATATTTTTATAATAATAATAATGATTTAATATTAACGTCTTTTTTACGCTCTTAATATCTAATTCTTGAATAATAATCGCTTTCACGCTCTCGCTCCCACTCCCGCTCTCGCTCTCGCTCCACGAATCGGTAAGCTAAGTTCAAACACGTCCTAGATTACACGCGTAGCCAATTGGGCAACTCGATTAATACTTGCCAATTTGACAACTTCATTTTAGTTTATTTCCTAAATGTTCCTTAATACGAAATTATGATCAATAGATCGTAATATTGTGACGAAGCGTATTCAAAATTATTAATAGCTCTATTAACGAATCCACATATCAAAATTATTTTCTCAATCTCAAAATCATGATGCAATAATATGTGTTAGGTTTCTTCTTTCAATATTACTCAAAATGATCAAACTACGTGGACTTTGATCCCGACTACTCGGGTAATAGGCAACCAGTAGGTTCGAGTCCAACTAATCCAAAAACTCTTTATGTACCTTCGAGATTAACGTCAATAGACCTATGATCGAATCTTAATAATAAACACATAATTAATCGAATCATATAATTAAATACATAAATCAAGCGCAAATTAGAATACACCTGACCCTTAAAAACTTATCGATTTAAAGTATTACCAATCTTTGGGCGTTGTGGGGTGTGAATAAACTTCCTCACATGTAACCGTACTCCCGAACCAAATCTCTAAAATTTCATATAACACATCTCGATTTCGTCCCTATGGTCGAGACAGGCCAAAAGGTGTTCGATCCACCACAAGTAAGGTCGATAGTGACTACAAGCATAACACGGCGGGTCCCTCGATCTCGAGGGGGCAGTTGCGACAGCTAAAATTATAGGACTAAGCCATCGTCTTTGGACTTTGGCTTGTGATCAAGGATTGTTTCGATTCTCCCCCCTTCCACTGTTTCCCTGTATCAATTTCTTTGGACTTTCTTCGTTTATTGCAGAGGAAGAAAGGGAATGAATCTGCTGGACTACCTTCGTTTATTGTAGAGGAAGAAAGGAAATGAATATGCTCGACTTCCTTCTTTTATTGCAGAGGAAGAAAGGGAATGAATTTGCAGAGAAGCCAGAGAGCTCTCTATTGCTTATAGATTTTTGTTATAAATAAATACTCAACGAAATATGAATTTAACATAAAACGTAATTAGTTTAACTGGTTTGGAATTTGTTTTGTGAACAATAGATCCATGGTTCGAGTACATCTATTACCTTTTCTTTAAGGTTATTTTTAATTTCAACTCTTAACACTAAGAATTTGTTCATATGTAATGAAATTTTTCTGACAAACGAAATTTGTCAATAATGTTCTATATGTGACGACATTGTTTGCATATTATTGATGACATATAAATTCTTCATAGAAAGTATTTTCCTCACGAAGCTTTTTCAACGAAATATTCATTTGTGATGGCCATTTGTGTAACCACTTTTCTAATGAACTTTTATCGACGACCAAATACGTTCCTTCATAAAAAGGTTTGTTTTCTGAGAGATAGGAAAATTCCTAACAAATAATACTATTTTCAACAACATTTTCTGAGGAAAAATTAGTGTCCTCAAAAATAAAATTCATGATTTTTTACCTCCTTTTCGGCGTCAGAAAAACATATTATTTCTGACGCCTATTTCAATTTGGTCATAAATAATTTGTATTTGTGACAAAATTTGAAAAGTCCTTAGTAAAAGTGAGTTGGCGTTCCTCGTATTTGCGAAATTGACTTTTAGTGACGAATGTTTTGGACATTATTGACGACTTTTGGTGTTCACCACAAATATTTTACGTTTTAATGAGGACGACAAATTTTTGTTACAAAAAGGGTTATTTCCAACCATAAAACAGTGTCGTCAGAAGGATTTTGTCACTTCTGCCAGTCTTTTTTGTAGTGTCTCTTGACTTGAACAACCGTTAAACTTGCTTTGTGTTTTTGTTTGTTTGAATTTGCACTAAAAGTTCACTGCTAGATAACGAGATTTCACCGAGTAGTCATCACATCTAGGACCCGGGTTGGCAACAAAACCCAAACCCGCTATACTACGCTTTAGGAAGTGGTTACACTTGGCCATTTTCTAGAGTGACAGTAGGAGTGAGTCAGAGACAAAGGCGCCAAGGCAGTTACTACGACGGAGAGAAGCGCGAAGTATAAAGATTGGGAAGAGAGAGAAGCTGGTGACGGCAAAATCAAATCACAACTGCACCATAGCAGAATTTATCTTTTTCTCTCTAGTTCGTAGAACTGCTCTGTCAAAGACCTCCTTTGCAGAGTCGTAGTAGTTGTAGATCGTAGTCGTAGTTGCGGAGCTCTCCAGAGGAACCTCCATAGGAGTAGAGGTAACGTAACTTAGAACACTCTCGGTTTGGTTTCTCGTTTCTCGTTGAACACCCTCGTTCGAACGTAGTTTGGAGAGGTGGTGAACCGAGTAACGGTTTTTTGATTAGAGGTCAAAGGTGCATCGATCGAATCAACGACGCCGACACCGGCGGCGGATATTTGATGATCGTCTTGATTTCTGCTTTAATCGATCAGATCAACGGCGCCGACTTCGGCGGCGGATATTTGACGATTTTGCTGATTTTGTGTTTGTGCTTACTTGAATACAGTGCGCATTGAACACGCGAGTTTCGCCAACGAAACAGCTGTACAGATCATAACCCGTCTAAAAAAACTATAAAACCAAACCACTAAGCCTCTAACAGAGACAGAGACTAACAGACCCAGAAGAAGAAAACTATACACATTCGTATGCTACATATAAGCAATGTAGCCAAAATCCCGATTTTAATCTTAAAATCTTACGATTCTATGATCTTTCCTATGGGTTTCTATCCTGATTTTAATACAAAATCTTTGAACCTTAAAATCTAAAAAAATCCCGATTTAAAACTTTAAATTCCTTAAAATCCACGATTTTGTACGATGTCAAGGTTCCTTTAATTCAAACAAAATCAGGTTGGTCATGTCGGATTTTGCCCATGATCCAGGTCAAGTTCTTCCCTCCAACCCAATATCATAAAAAAATCCTAACTCGATAGGCGACCCTCAATAAAATTTCTTCTCTTACTCATCTATTCCTCCTTTGCACACCGACACCCGACTCCTTCCATGAACGAGTTTCCTCCATCCATCCTCTCAATTAGCTCAGAGTTTATTACCCGCCACTCTCGCAATTAGCCTAATCTTCATTCCCTTACAGGCTTTTATTCATCTCCTAAACATTTAGCATTCCCATCCTCGAACCTTTTCCAATCAAGAGGGGAATGCATAAGTCAATGAGTTACCTTGTCCAGATGATGGTAAACAAGGAAATATGGTTAATGGTGAAAGTACTTCAAATGATTCTGAGAAGAATGGGATTATTGCTCAAGCAAATAGACAAGTATTTTATGAGGATGAAGGTGAGAGGAGGAGAATGATATGTGAGGGATGTTAATGTCAATTCTAATGATTTTATATGATTTTCTACTCTTAACTATTATATAGATTGAATTATTTCTATGAGGTTCCAAGTTGCTTATTTGTGTGTTTATGGCATGTACAAGAATAAATCTATGGATTTCTTTGTGTTTGTTTAACAAACAAACTTACCTTGCAAAGTAAGTAAGTTATATGTGGATGCTTGTTATTTATGATATGCATTGTTATTACTATCAGATGTTTCCGGTGTCCATTTTAATATGAACTTTAAAATCTTACAATTCTACGATTTTAAACTAAGATTCCGATTTTACCTTAGTTTTAGATTTTATGTAAAATCAAGATTATGACTGCATTGCATATAAGGTTTTACTACTATTGCCTGCAGCAAATTCAGAGTTTCCACATTTTAGATCATCCAGGTCCTTCCTCATTTTCTCAAGCAACTCATCACAAGAGAGACTCTTCTTGCCATACAACCGGCAACGCTCCCTCCAGATTTCACTAATCAGCAAACACCACATCAAACGCCTAACCTTACATTTCCCCAACTTACTAATAGCAGCCACCAAACTCATATGGATTTTATATTTTTCAAAATGAATTTTTTTTATTTTTTATTTTCTGGACAAATAATATAATGATTGTTTGTTTGGTGTGACAAAAATTATTACTCAAAGCGAGAGATAGTTAGATCTCGCTTTTTGGATGAGATATGCACACCTCTCTCCCTATGAAGCCAGTAATTGGTTTTGAGCTAACCGTTATGCTTTTGATGCTTGCCTATATTGAGACACTGGGTGAGATTATTGTGTTTATTTTTGTTCCAACTATATTTCTAATTTTTTGTATGTTTTAGTTTTTTAAATTACAAACAAAAGGGTGGTACTTCTCTTAAAAGGTAATATAACTCATTTATTCATAAAA